ACCTTTATGCGTGTTTCCATTTAACTTTTGTTCATCTCAACTTTCACCACACGCACTTCTCTAAGTTTTAATCGACCAAACTTTATATGTGCGTATATCATCAGTCTTTCGGTTTTGATACCCATCTACAAATAAATAAATAAATAAATAAATAAATAAATAAATAAATAAATAAATAAATAAATAAATAAAATACTCCCTCTAAACTACTTATTCTAAATATCCTCACTCCTAAATGGTGAATGATACTTAACTGACAGAAATGGGTTATCACTATGACCAGAATTGTAGCCATTTCTTCACAATCAGAGTATCATACCCCCACCCATCTTTCCAACTTGTATAATATCAATAGCCCTTAACAAAAACACTATTTTGTTTAATGTATCGTGATTTTTAAAGATCACCTGATCAAACTAAAGTAAGACTTGCAAATACAGTGTTTCCATAAATGACAGCTTGCACGGGTTTTGCAATTGCATGTTATCCTTAAATATTAGCAATGTAAACTGTTCATATTATAGCACAGTATATGTCCATAATGAATGTTAGTATTGTAAAACGAGCTATATCTATTACGATGGTAAACATAAATGCAAGGACAGTAAAAACAGTGGTATTTATCTTTCGGTAGATAGTTATTGTTTTGGATATCTGTATTATATGACTATTTGATTGCATGTTACATTAATCCATATATAGAAATTTTCTCATTCGGCAAGTATGTAATATATAAATACTTTATAAATCCTCAAGCTCTCATCATTGTAGGCGGCAAAAAATATTGTTCGGAAAACGCTACAAGGAATTATGTTCACGGAGTAACTCCATCAACACACTAATAGATTATCTCCCTTTACTATTTTGTTCGCTATACTGCATTTATGATTAGTGAAACAAGAAGAAAAAAAACCAAATATTATCTCTTTTTTGATCAGTCGTTTCCTCTCATAATATGTTTTGACACCAATAGACAACCCCGATTTTGACGTTTTTGCTGAATTTTTTTTAAAAAGATTTTGGATGAAAATACTTCCTAGCTTGACTGGACCACAATTTGTTTTTCAAAGAGATGAAAATGCATACTAATACGCTTGCGCTACTGATGTAGAATTCTGTACAAGCAAATTACAAAGAAAAAGATTAACCAAGTATCACTCTCGGCTAGTGAATAAACTTGGATCAAACAACGATACGACTAGTGAATAAACTTGGATCAAACAACGATACGACTAGTGAATAAACTTGGACCAAACAACGATACGACTAGTGAATAAACTTGGACCAAACAACGATATTTGCCGCAAGAATAAATATAAATTATGTTGCCTAGCGATCTCCTAAAGTTTAATGTATCCGAATGCTTTGAACAATTTAAGATTCACTATCCAGTTAAATACATCGTCTGCGGTTCCGGTTCTTAACATACGGGTTATTGTAACTGTCGACGGACCACTGAGCTCAAATGTAAAGGTTTCATTGCATGCATTTGTTCGATACAATATGCAATATCAAGTCCATAACACGACAAAAGTCAGCACTTGGAGTTGCAGTATCGTTGGAAAGTTTCTCTAACCTCTTGAGATTTTGCGAGAGTTCGCATTTTAACACTTTCTATGAACTGCATTGTCAGTCTCTTGCATGTTCCATAGTTTGTACTCTAATAGTACGTTCAAGATATCGTAGAGTAGTTGGCAAACTGATAATACTCTTGTGTCTGACGTCAAAGAAACATTCTAAGCAAGATGCAGTTTTGAATAACATACTATGCTAACGATTGAGGAAGATATCCTCATTCGTGATGGCTGTTATTTACATTTAAAACAAGTCATGTACAAATGATCGCTCAGAGAGACAGTATGAAAAATTCCCCGTGTTCTTATGGAAGTGGAAATATTTTGCCGGATTAAAGCAAATACAGGATTGATGCAAAGTTTTATTGCAGCAAAAAAATCAGCAATTGCTCTAATACCAAATTTATTGTCTATAATGTACACCGTTATGTCAGACGACTGAGATTTTTGATAAATCTTGACAAGGTCGCTTTTTTAACTACTCGTGGATATATGTAATGACCTTGTTACTCATTCAACACGGTATTGGTCACGAGTCTTAACAGTTTATGCCCATGTTAAAAGCAATTGCTATATATAACACAGATAACCCACAAAAACATTTGCACATTTTATTCTTTAAAGTCTACATCCAAGTAAGCATACCATGTCATTTATTGGCCTGTCATTTAAGACAAATGCATTAAAAACAAATGCACGAAACCTGTGAGTATCCAACTATTGTTTTGGTATTTAGACCTCGTTGGACGAAGGAACGAGAGAGTAAACATTATCCGCCTTTCCTTTATTGATGTATATACCCGTGGACCTGCGTGATATTTCCCTGTAGAAAATCTCTATTTTGCAATAAACGTGCCTGAGCTTGTCTTGTCTCGTGATTTGTAACTCGCCTCCATTAAATTCTCAACAGGAAATCTTACCGCAAAATGCAGCGTTAAGTATAGGCGTACTGATCACACTCACAGTGATGTCATAAATTGAATACTTTACAAATTCACGACGATGACCACGATGGGAAGAACTACAATAATGATTATAGGTATGCTAGAGTCCCTATTGTAGTGTCCTCATTAAATCACCAAAATACAATAGTGGGACACAAGTGTGGGTATACAAAGAGAGAGAGAGAGAGAGAGAGAGAGAGAGAGAGAGAGAGAGAGAGAGAGAGAGAGAGAGAGAGAGAGAGAGAGAGAGGGAGAGAGAGAGAGAAACAGAAAGGCAGGGAGAGAGACAGAGAGAGACAGAGACAGAAACAGAGAGACAGACAGAGAGACAGACAGAGAGAGGAGAAAGTCATTTTATTATTTATTTCAATTTTTTGAGAAATAAAATACGCTTTCTAAAATAATAGAACATTTAGACGCTTGTTTTTATGCAGCTTAGTTCATAACAAACCTGGGAAATAGTGATCAAAATATGACATCATAGGACCGTTTTGCCATCTAGCCCTATTTCCAGCCTGCTTTGTTAAATACTGATATAACATATATATTTGTCTATTCGATTATTTATTCAAACTAGCAAACCAATAAACTATCTGCAAAATGGCAATATACATGTAATACATGTGTATAGCAAAGCGACAAAACAGTATTATCCCTATAAAAGGAATGCTGAGTTCTTTACTGCCAAATTATCATCCAAATATCGTTGTTAGGTGAATTATTCGGATGTAAAATATGTCACAGAATAGTCATATACGATTTATATAACTGGACGCTTTCTCCTTGTGGCGGAAAACTATTAGGCAGACAACAACGGTCGAATTCGGGTGGGATGGGGGCATATTTAAAAGAATGAAAATCTGGATTTCTTCACAAAGGTTTATATTAGTTTGCAAAAATGGTCTGTAGTTAAATTTGTATGTTATTATTTACAGGTGTAAGGTCCCTAAATCTCTGGTTGAAAGGCTATGTTTATGGGCAAGGGCCGTAACTCTGCCTACGGCTCAGTTTTTTTTTTAAGCCAAGTGCTTTATATGAATCATAGAAAAATGAACCATCAATCAAACATTTCGCTTGAAACTAAGATCCGTAATGCGGTGCTACGCAATACATCTTACAGGATATCGATTTTTTCAATGCGCCTTAATTTGGCAAAATATTTCCAGGTCTATAAGAACACGGGAATTTGTCAGATTCTCGTTTGTGCGAGAATTTGTACATGACTTCATGCAAGTGCCAAAATGTGGTGTATTTTCTCCGCTTCAAAACTGAGCACTTCAAACTCTGGGATTATTCCAGTTTTATAAAACATTGTGCTAAACGTGATTTTATATATATATATATATATATATATATATATATATATATATATATATATATATATATATTTTATATATATATATATATATATATATATATATATATATATTTTATATATATATAAAGAATTATAAATATATACCGGACAGAACAAACAGTGCTATCCTTGGATTCTGTACTAGAATCTTGATAATAGTGGGCTGAATTTATAGCATAGTATTTATCAATACTATCATACAGGTTAGAGAAATTAAATTCGTACTCTACGGAGTTTCGAACCCAGGTCCGCGAGGTAATGTTAGGCAAGGCAAGGCGATGGGTATATATATATATATATATATATATATATATATATATATATATATATATATATATATATATATATATATATATATATATATATATATATATATATATATATATATATACACACCAATGCTACAGCTTTTAATAAGTCAGGTGTTGTTGTTGTTGTTGTTGTTGTTGGGCTTAACGCCATTTTTCAGCACACGATAGGCTATTCATGGCGGCCAGTATTAATGGTGGAGGAAGCTTTCTCACATATCCACATTCGCCGAATCCTAGACTCGATCCCACGCAGACAGGGGTGAGATGGCAGTGATCCGTAACGGACAGCGCTTTATACCACTAGGCCACTCGGAGCCCCTGGAAAGTTTGACAACTGTCATATTGCAGGTGTGTATGTAATATGAATGTCAGTTAAGGGATCGGGTTGAATGGAAGAAGACCAATATGATAATCCCCTATACTTGGATTCGGGATATTTGCGACGTGCATTGTACGAAATGTCCAATGTATGCGTAAATGTAAATCTCGTTGCATCTTGGTTAGTCTTCACCCAGCACGATAACTACAATACAACAGCTAAATACAATCCTAATACAGTGATCTATTGGGCGCATGTGTGTATGTGATTCGAATTTTTAACGTAGCTTTAACAGCTTTTCAGTCATATCGCTACGATGTCTGCAGTGTGGCAGTTTACAGTGATGTCTAGCCTTGGGGCGTCATGGCGCAGACATGTAGCTTGATGTCCCACCCAATCACATTATTCTGACACCGGGTCTAACAGTCCTAACACTAACCTCTTAATGCTGAGCGACAAGCGAGGCAGCTCGTAGTACAATTTTAATAAGTCTTTGGCATGACTAGGTCGGGGATCGAACCCACTACCTCCCGCATCCGATGCGGACGCTCTAACCACTAGGCCCCTAGAGCGGTCTGATCTATTGCGTGCAGTGATCTATCGCGCGTAAAATACAATACTAAAAAGCCTATATTAGCTCATGTAAATACATTGTTTTGCAACACAGTATTTTTTACACAGTTTTTTTTCTGAATATTGAGATGACCAATTTAAGCTAATGATATTAACTTTAACCTCATTGCATACTCATTACATACTCATTACATACTCATTGCATACTGTATGTGATATTTTTCATACCTTACCCACTATCTCGTTAGGTCAAATCGTATTAATAGCGCTTAATTCAACATAAGCCACGTAACTCAGTTTTTAACCTTTACCCTTATAACTGCCATCTCTTTTCTTTCCCGTCCCTTGGAGTCGGATTAAAAGTGTATAGCTCCAGGTTATTGAATATCCCAGATTCTGAAGTAAATCTTTTGTGAACGTAGTTGATGTTTTACACTTGTGTGCGTGCGTTAACTCGCGCATATAAACACACACACACAGACACATACGGACAGTATCACTCAATAAACGTATGTTCTTATCGAGGTGGAAAAAAATATGCCAGAGAAATTGGCTTAAAAAAATGACAATATATTTGTAAGATATGTGTTGCGCAATGCTGACATTCGGAGCGTATCTCTCAGGTTAAAAATCAGGCTTTTGGTATTCCCGGAAGTTTGAGGCGTGTGCAAAACACGTTAATGATGTTTATGTTGATCTTATTCTGAGCAGACGACAAGTCATGTGACATATGACTGGTTCTCTTGATGAAGATATTTCCTTATAATGTTGCCGATAACGAACACATCATTCCTTACATTGAAAGCAGAGAAGTCTGTATCTATGTATACATTTTACATACATATTAACCGGGACCCAGAAGGTAAGATACTGGGATGTTCTTGTAAACGCGTACATATTTTAAAAGACAACGGGTTTAGTGACATTGGCAGTTAAAAGAGGGATGTGGAATAGAGCTAGATATCGTGTAATTGTGTTGACAAATTTTACTTTATATTATGGTTATGATTATATATGGCAAACTGCTAGTGCTTTTGCTTATTGTGTTCTTTCTCTTTGTAACTCTTTCACTTACTTTCGATTTGTTTCCTGGATTTTGAGTATAACCTCGGTTGTTTGTAAACAAGGACCGAAATAATCTAGATCTAAAAAGTGTACTTTTTGTTGCTCGAAAATGCTAAGCATATCCCATCTTTTTCCATTGAGGGAACACTTAACTATAAATGGGGATGGGGTGGGGTGGGTGGGTAGGGGATTGAATTAGAGAGTATGTGTGAGAGTTGGGGAGAGCTGGGATCGGACTGGTAAATTACATATTGTTGAAACTTAGATACAGGCAACTCATTAATTAACGTAATAGTTTCATTTCAAGTATGACAGGTGGAATTTGATCAAGATAATCAATTAAAAATGAAAGAATCAACACTAATTTATTTTGTGCAGCTTCGACGTCAGTACAATAACCGAAATAAATCAGTTAGACGAAGACCAAAAACATAAAAAAGAACAAATATGTCTTACAATTTACAAATAAGATCGTAGAATAAATCAAAATTTATGTTTATAATGTACCTGGGAATAATTGATTTTTATTGACTTGCTGATTCAACAGGTGATCCAACCGTGAATACTAGGTTGAGTAAACACTATAACAAGGTCGCTTATAACACTTCTAATTAGTCATACCCCATTTGTTTGCTTTAGTGTTTTAACTGAATAAAAGAGACCCAGTCGTATAACCAAGTTTGAAAGCAGCCTATACTATAGCAGGTACAGAGGAACCTGTAGCACAAGACCAGGGGAAGAAGTTAACGATGTAAGGAACCTTATTTAGTGTTGCTGTCAGAAAGCAACTGGTGCATTACGTAAAAGCTGCAGTGTTTGAACAGCCTTAACTAAAGCTGCTTTGCTTGGATACATGTGCGATTGTTAATTTATATTTTAATCATGTATTGTATTTTTCTTGATTTTTTTTTAAAACAAATGTCATATGCATTAGTGAACCGAATCTCATGAAATAGGAAAACTAATCCCTATCTAGTCCTGGCAGATTTATCTCTCTTAAAAGTTGTTGAGTAGGTGGTTTTCTCATCAGACAGTCAGTTGAATGATTTTATGACAGCGTTTGATAGGTATAATAAAGTAACAGAGAAAGTACATTTTCTTTACCGACTATAACACTGTGGTATAGAGAAAAGCAACTGCTATCGTTATACCAACACGTGCACACGCAGCAATTACAAAAACTCTTGCCGCAGGCGAGGGATGTGTGTGTGTGTGTGTGTGTGTGTGTGTGTGTGTGTGTGTGTGTGAGAGAGAGAGAGAGAGATTTGGATTTTTAACGTAGCTTCAACAATTTTTGTGTCATATCACTACGATGTCTTCAGTGTGGCAGTTTATAGAGATGTCTAGTACTGGGGCATTATACCATAGACCTGTAGTGTCATGTGCATAATGTCTCACCCAGTCACATTATCTTGACACCAGGCCAACCAGTAGTAAAACTAGACCCTTAATGCTGAGCGCTAAGCAAGGCAGCCGTTAGTACGATTTTTATTAGTCTTTGGTATGACTTGGTCGGGGATCGAACCCACGACCTCCTGCATCCAAGACGGACGCTCTGCCACTAGGCCACTGGAGCGGTCCCCTGGGAGAGATATATCTCAGGTTGTGAATTGATGATTTCGTAAATGGTGGGAGGGAAAGGATATTAATTAACAAGTCCAGAGAGCGTGAATGACCGTTTGAAAATAAATAAAATGTTTAAAACATAAACAATGCTTTCCTGACTTGATTTTAAAACCTTGATGAAAAGAACTTTATTCGCATTATCGCCTCACAAATTCTTACTTGTATGACTTTGAAATTGAATAGATCTGAACGTAGAGCTTGGTATTTGATCAGTCCTGCTGAACTGTTTCGCTCTACATGAAAATATCTCAACACTATCCTGATTATACCGTCATCACTCAAATTTTATTTTTCGACTTTACTTCTTGCTCGTACGTGTTACGAAAAAATGGTGTTTACCAAGTTTTTGCCAACGGGATGACATCAAATAAAATGTGACCACTATGACTAGTAGCGATGCAGTATTGTTTTTGTTTTCTTGTCTTTTAGCCGCTGCTTCCAATGTTGTTGTTATTGCCTGCCTCACTATTGTTCTAATAACAAGCCAAGTTTTGGTGGTATTTAATTAAATTTAAACCACGGGCACCTGCATGGCAAGAATGTTATACAAAAAATGTGCAAACCTTTGACTTCCAACAAGTTTTCCATTCATAGAATGATAATAACAAAGTTCTAAAGATTTAAATTATATATACTTGAATCTGAGCCAGATATCTGTTGCCACTAGGATTTTCACAGAAGAAAAGTCATTAAAATTCTTACGAAAGAGTTTTCTTTTTTAAAAATACAAATGCTAGTATTAGTTCCAAATCGTTTCTTTAATCAAGCAGCCGGTCTATCAGTTTGATTATCTGTTTCCCTGCTTATCAGTTTGACTGTCTATTGTTCTGCCTATCAGTTTGGCTGTTTTCCTGCTTATCAGTTTGACTATCTGTTTTCCTGCTTATCAGTTTGACGGTCTATTATTTTGTCTATCAGTTCGACTATTTATCTCTTTGACCCTATTTGCCTGTCTATCATTTCGACTGTGTTTGCTAGTCAATATGTTCGACTATTGGCATATATGTCTCTTAGTTCGACTGCCTGTATACGTGACTTTTGCTCTGTGTTATTTCTAAATATCTACGAAGAAATTCGCTGAACAAGGCAGTACCAACAGAGTGTGTCTATATGGGTCTCGATTAACACTACAAGAGGGTAAAATGTTCATACGCATTCATCCTCCAATGTCTCTACCCGCTTGGGTAGTTAATTTCGTGGTTTTGAGGACATGGCATTTCGATTGTAAAGTATCTGTTGGATGATGAATGGATGGAAATGGGGATATTATCCCATTCTCTTGACAAATAGGTCACAGTTTGACGATGATTTCAATTGTGTGACTGGTAGTAACAATTTAATGTACTGAATTTGGTACTCAACGAAATTAAGTGACGTCACAATTTATTTGAATGTTAATGCTTATTATCATATTAGTTGCCTTGCAATTCATCGAAAATGCGTTAACACACACACGTACGTACGTACGTACGTTCGTATGTATGTATGTATGTATGTATGTATGTATGTATGTATGTATGTATGTATGTATGTATGTATGTATGTATGTATGTATGTATGTATGTATGTATGTATGTATGTATGTATGTATGTATGTATGTATGTATGTATGTATGCATGCATGCATGTATGTATGTATGAATGTATGTCAAAATGGTGCTTTGTGTGAGCGGATCTAGTTCTGTTGTGCTAAAGCGTTTGTAGGATGGTAAATATGATCTTAATTGTTTAAATGTTTATGTGGCGTGATAGATGCGATAATATGCTTGACTGCTTTCATCAGATATTAAATGAGTTTGTGTTTTAACAGTTTGATACAATAAACCAGTATCTTTGCCCTCCATGGACTAAGAAATCTGGAGTATCATTTATTATCTTGTTTTTTTTTAAATTTGTTTGATTGCGTTATCTTATCTAACTGATATTAGTTTGAAAAACTGAAGGCTATTTTCGTACATGTTGGTGGTAAAAAAAAGCAGTAGATCATTTGTAGATTACATTGAATTAATCACGCCAACTGTTCATGGTCGGTTTCAGTGCCGGATTACCCAATAGGTAGAGTTGGCACCGCACTATGGGCCCCAAGCCTTTTAGGGCCCCGAGAAAACGAAAAAAAAAAACGGATCAAAATAATATTGAATTTATTTGATCTTGACGTAATAGAAGATAATTTGCGAGGTGGGCCCTGAGTTTTCGACTGCATAGAAGCCTCCCCAGGGTTTAAACCGGCACTGGCCGGTTTGCAAAGTAGATACTGCATTCATTGCCAAATGAATGTTCAACTATTTCCCTTCGAACACTATATATTTATAATGCTAGAAACAAAAATTAAACAAAAAATAAAACTGATGTTTCAACGTTTGATTGAAGCTATTTTGAGAGTCTTCGATTTTGCTAACGTTCGTTACTTGATTTGATTTCCGGAATCCTGACTTTTTTGGACTAAAGCTATGGGATAATTTCTGTGTACTTCCATAGTGCTGGATAGATTAGATTCATGCATACAGGATGGAAGCAAATTCATGTATGAATGAAATTGAACTACGGTTCGTTTTATATGTTATTTATTGAGAAATACTGACGTGAAAATTGTGTATTGTGACATTTTATCTAAGTTCGATCCTCTCATCTTTATTTTTTCCCTTGCATTTAATGCAGAAGCAAAGATTTAGCTTTACCAGCTATGCTTTGTTGTTAGCGTTTTGAAGCTACAGTAAAAAAAATCCCATGTGTATACAAGAAGGTCTACAAGAGATTGATACGTTAGACAACTTCCAGGAAATATGTATGCCGGGATGGATAAGCCGCACAAACATCAGGATATGACATCTTTTCAGCAAAGGAAGAACACATGGACCTTAGGCAAAACTAGATAGAAATGCCGAATTCTGAAAAGGAAACAAAGTTGTGATTTGGACATGGAGTCAGTCACGGAAGGGCGACCCAAATATTGCAGGATTGAGTCTCGATCTGAGAGTGTGCGGGTATGTTCATGTAAACTGTTTGTCCCTATTTATGTCATATCATATCAAATGTTTTTTTCCTATTCATGTCATGTAAAATATTACTACGTATTTATGTCATGTCAAATGTTAACATCTAATCTCCAATTCAGTAGGACTTTGTTTACTTACACAATTACCGACACGTGTATAAAGCGAACTTAATAAATACAAAATGGTTTGCATTGCATCCACAAAAATAAAAGTGATATTTATTTCATCTTATAGCAATATGAAAGTGATGTTCGTTTCATGTTCTAGCTAAATGAAAGTGATGTTCATCACATGTTATAGTAAAATTAGAGTGATGTTCATCTCCTGTTCTGTGAAAATGAAACCGATGTTAATTTTACGTTCTAATCCAAATGGAAGTGATTATTTCATGTTCTACGAAAATTAGAGTGATGTTCATTTCATGTTCCGTGAAAATAAAAACAATTTTCATTGCATTTTCTAGCAAAATTAAGTGATGTTGATTTCATGTTATAGCAAAATTAAAACGATGTTCATTACATGTTCTAGCAAAATAAAAGTGATGATTAGCTCATGTTCTAAGCCAAAGAAAGTGATGTTCATTTAACGTTCAAGGAAAATTAAAGTATGTTCATTTCATGTTCTAGCAATATAAAAATATTTTCGAAACGAAAAACACTTTTATTTTGCCAGAGCATGAAATGAACGTTCTAGATAAATTAAAGTTATATTCATTTCATGTCATGTTCTAAGACAAATGAAAGCGAGGTTCATTTCGTATTATAGCAGAACTGAAATGATGCTTTTTTCATATTCTATCAAACTGACAGATATGTTCCCTTCATTATTCCAGCAAAAGGAAATGTTTGCACGAGCAGTTTTCAGTAGCTAATTCATAAGCCAAATGTTCACATTTCTATACGGTTATTGCTTGATACATACGCTGTTAAGCATTTACTTTAGTTTCATGTAGCTATTTAAAGTTATATTACTTCTTATAGTGCTTGAATGATGAGACAGTGAACAAGAAGAGAATTACAAAGTTCGGTGACAAAACGGTCAACCGGACTGTTTCAGCAGCATCCATTCTCGACTGTCGTTACAGACGAAGTGACAAGATGATCAAAGTCGGAAAAGGTTTGTCATTGTCTTCCACTCTCTTATTTTAATCAGAAATTTTATAACTTAATCTTTATTATAGGTAAAAACTTAACTGTAATATTATTCTTATTCTTATTTGACAACGTTTAAATGTTTTAAATAACATGCACAAACAATATAGAGAAAGGTTACCTGATGCTTTCGTCCTTACGCTAACTACTTCATCAGTAGACTGATTTAATCTCTACTGACTCTTAACGTCAATGGTTATCTTTTATGGACACAACACCGTCAGAAATATCGACGGTAATTTTGGAAATTAATGTTAGTCGTAAACCTACGCATGTCGACAATTACATTAGTTTTGACTCGCACCATCCCTTAATTCAAAAGGCTCGATTGCCGCTAACCACTTTATCATTATCGTTTTCAATACTTTCAATATTTTGGAAGGAGGAAATGCATCTGGAAACAAATAACTGGCATAGATTGTATCACTTTTGGAAATGAACAACAAATAAACCATAATTTGGTAAAAGAGTTCTTTCATGATATCTTGCCACCTCATTATAGTTAACACCGCTTCTCTCCGGTCCATTATTTATACTGAATTTTGACAGCAACAAAATAAGCAATGAGACTGACATTTATATGCTATTTAAGTGGGGGTGAGTCGGTGGGACACTCTAAATCTAATGAAGATTTTTGTTTACATTTCAACAGCAGTTTCATCATCAGACGATTTGTACGAGTCCGATCAATCGATGACGTTGAAAAAGACCAGAAACCCATCTGTCAATCTAAGTATACAGAACTTGACAATTAACAACTCTAGTGGTGTTGAAATTGGATGCGTTGTTAACAAATC